TTTGGAATATGCAAAATATACGTACCTGAACTTGAAGGGATCATTATGGGAGATAGTTTCAGATTTATCAACAACAGATATTGGATTTGCGTGAAGAAGAAGATACTCAAGCTCACCCAAATCTCCATTAAACCCGATGTTCTTGCATCCGTAACCGAACGGGCTCGCCGGACCGGCTCGTTGCTTCTCCGATTCCGGTTTATTAAAGAACTCTTCACCTTCATGCTCAAATCTCGATATTATCTCCGGTTTAACTCCATGGTTTATCACCTTGAAGAAACCATTAACCTCGCAGGCTTTCACAATCTTCTCCGATAGTTTAGACCGATCGTTTAAAGAGAAATCAATCACCGGAAAGTTATATTCCGGCAAGGAATTCGTTTTCTTTCCGGTGGTTTGTAACGGTGTTGAAGATGGCAAAACCATGTCTTTCTTTTATTTTTTTCAAACAAAAATAATTTTTTTCCCACTTATTTATAATCTAAGAATGAAATCAGGAGGTTTTGAATCTGATAGCAGAGTGAGTATTATTTATAGTGCATGGGAGGATTATTAAAAAAAAAGAACTTTATTAAAAGTCTTTTTCGAGTTTATTTTAATAATTCTACGGTTTCCATACGGTTGACAAATGGAGAAAATTAAATTAATCGTCTCATCATTCATATCGCGTAAGGTTGGCATGTCATCAATGGGGACGGTCGATTTTAAAAAAAACAAAATTATTGCCAAGCTAAATAAAGCTTGTCTAGATATGAAACTATGCATGTTTATCTCCACCAAAATGTTTTTTTTTTGTAAGAAATTATATCATGAAATTATGCATTTGTTCAGTTTAAACATTTTCAAGTTAGGTAAACTTGAATTTGTGTTTGTATGATTGTTTCACAAATTTGTTATAATTGAATTCGGGTAGCTTGAAATTTGGTGATAGGAAAGTAGTAGATATTGATGTTTAATTCTTAAAATAATTTATAGATTGCGCACTTATTGCCTTAAACTCCGTGTTTGGTTAGTCATAAGACTCGCGTATATTTGACATTGATTTTTAAAAATACATAACAAATTTACAATAGTAGTTGATCCATTATTGTTGTGATTAAGATTGTCAATAGGGGATGTCCGTTCTTAATATTTGATAGGTTTGGCAAAAATGACTAACAGCTCATGATTTATTAGTATCCGACTAATATATAAACCATAAGAATTCATGAACAATATTAAATATATACTTATATTTCCTCCCCCCTGAAAAACTATTTTTAAAGTTGACAAGTAAACTAAAAATGAGACTTTTTGTTTCAGAGTTGAAAAATCCAATATTTTTCAAATCCATTTAAAAAAAAAAAATCCAATATTTTTCATGCTTAAGAAATAAATCAGTTCCTTCTCTCGTATTTTCCAAGTTAGAGATGGAATTATTCAAGTCTAAACTTTGATAATGATTGATAGAGCAACAAAATGTATACAGAACTCCAATTTTTTGCGATAAGATAGATATTTTATCTATTATTAAGATATAATATATATTTGTATTTTAATAAGTGAAGAGGCAAATAAAAAGGAAAAAAAAGATAAAATTAGGAGAAGCAATTTGGCTTAAAAAGCGGCGCGTGGAAAAGAGTCACGAGGATGTGGGAAAGGTGAGGATGGGCCAGGTGTAAGGCTTGTATGTCGGCACGTAGTGGAAATGGTCAACCTTGACGGCTCCTATTAACCGTCCGATTAACTAAATAATTTTGTTTTCAAGAGCCCATACATATTCTTTTCAATTATTATTTTCCTAACTCTTTGTACCAATACTTAGTACCTACCCATATATAAGACCACTTCTTATAGCATCATTATCCATGAGATTTGGTGGATATCATTAAATATAAAATTATTAAAACACACA